TGGCGTCACTTTAATCGTTCTAGAGTTATGCCCATTATAAATGGAATAAAATGCTCCGCTTTGCGCAGCTTGATACGACCACAGAGGTCGAACCCTGAACAGTTGGGGCAAGTATGGACACAACATTCAAGTTTGATACAGCTCTGAATTTGGATTGTGATTAAATATTTGACACAGCATAGGTTTCTGACACAGAATGAATGTGGTCTAAGAACATAATTTTTTTAATTTACCTATTATGGTCCAATATCCAAAATCTATATACATGGTTAGATTCAGCATATCAAAGAATCCAAAGAATTCAATTTTTGATGAAATCAAACAAAGTTTAATTTTGAACCCTTTTGACCTCAATGTGGACCAATTTTGATAACGGGGCCCAAAAATCAAAATACATGGTAAGATTCAGCATATCAAAGAACCCCATATATTCAATTTTTGTTGAAATCAAACAAAGTTTAATTTTGGACCCCAACTTGGACCAACTTGAAAACTGGGCCCATAATCAAAAATCTAAACACATGTTTAGATTCAGCATATCAAAGAACCCCAAGAATTCAATTTTTGTTAAAATCAAACTAAGTTTAATTTTGGACCCTTTGGACCTTAATGTAGACCAATTTGAAAACTGGACCCAAAATTAAAAATCTAAATACACGGTTAGATTTGGCATATCAAAGAACCCCAATAATTCAATTTTTGATGAAATCAAACAAAGTTTAATTTTGGACCCTTTTGACCTCAATATGAACCAATTTGATAGCGGGGCCCACAAATAAAAAAATCTAAATACATGGTTAGATTCAGCATATCAAAGAACCCCATATATTCAATTTTTGTTGAAATCAAACAAAGTTTAATTTTGGACCCCAATTTGGACCAACTTGAAAACTGGGCCCGAAATAAAAAATCTAAATACATGTTTAGATTCAGCATATCAAAGAACCCCATATATTCAATTTTTGTTAAAATCAAACTAAGTTTAATTTTGGACCCTTTGGACCTTAATGTAGACCAATTTGAAAACTGGACCCAAAATTAAAAATCTAAATACACGGTCAGATTTGGCATAACAAATAAATAAATTGTGCAATTAAAGATTACTTCTTGAAATCTGAAATGAGAAAAAATTGACCCCCCACAATTTCTTTTTATGGATTTTTTTGTAAAAAACAGAAAAGGTGCAACATTTGCAGATATTTTTACTGGTCTTCCTTTATAAATATGCATTTCTTTAAACATAATTTAAAAGCAGTGTAAGGGAAGTAATCAAAACATTGTATGTGGATTACCTCCCTTACACTGTTTTAAATTGTCTTAATTGTTCATTAACCATTACTTTATACATAATTTAAAAGCAGTGTAAGGGAGGTAATTCAAATGATGTATTTGATTTATCTCTCTTACACTGCTTTAAATTATGTTTTGTACTAAAGTATTTGTCCATATAAAAATGCTTGTTTTTTGCCCCGTTTTTGGCCCCTAATTCCTAAAATTTTGAGGCAATTACCCCCAAAATTACCTATTCAAACCATATCATTATTATTTGCTTTTTTATATAAATCAGAAATAACCAATTTAAAATGGAAAATTTTAAAGAAAAAAATCCCCCCCCCCCAAATTTTTTGAACCCCCTTATGATTCATCACCCCCAAACTCAATACCAGCCTTCCCTTTGTGATATGGTACCTTGCAGTACAATTTCAGAGAGATCCATACACTTGAACACAAGTTATTGTCTGGAAACTAGAAAAATGCTTGTTTTTTTGCCCCTTTTTGGCCCCAAATTCCTAAATGTTTAGGGCAATTACCCCAAACTCAAACCCAGCTTTCCCTTTGTGATATGGAACCTTGTGGTACAATTTCAGAAAGATCCATAAACTTACACACAAGTTATTGTCATGAAACTAGAAACAAGAGTGCACACGCTGAAATGTCTCGCCTTCTTTACTAATCATTGATATTATGTTGATAGTCCTAAATATAAAGCTTTATTACAACTGTCACATAAACTTAACATTAACCAAGTAAACTAAACATTGACCAATGAACCATGAAAATGAGGTCAAGGTCAGATGAACCATGCTAGGCAGGCATGTACAGCTAACAATTCTTCCATACAACAAATATAGTTGACCTATTGCTTATAGTTTAAGAAAAACAGACGAAAACACAAAAACTTAACACTGAGCAATGAACCTTGAAAATGAGGTCAAGGTCAAATAAAACCTGCGTGACTGACATATAGATCATAAAATATTTCCATACACCAAATATAGTTGAACTATTGCATATAGTATTAGAAAAAAAGACCAAAACTCAAAAACTTAACTTTGACCACTGAACCATGAAAATGAGGTCAAGGTAAGATGACACCTGCCAGCTAGACATGTACACCTTACAATCATTCCATACACCAAATATAGCTGACCTATTGCATGCAGTATTAGAAAGAAAGACCAAAACTCAAAAACTTAACTTTGACCACTGAACCATGAAAATGAGGTCAAGGTCAGATGACACCTGCCAGCTAGACATGTACACCTTACAATCATTCCATACACCAAATATAGTAGACCTATTGCATACAGTATAAGAAAAACAGACCAAAACACAAAAACTTAACTATAACCACTGAACCATGAAAATGAGGTCAAGGTCAGATGACACCTGCCAGTTGGACATGTACACCTTACAGTCCTTCCATACACCGAATATACTAGACCTATTGCTTATAGTATCTGAGATATGGACTTGACCACGAAAACTTAACCTTGTTCACTGATCCATGAAATGAGGTCGAGGTCAAGTGAAAACTGTCTGACGGGCATGAGGACCTTGCAAGGTACGCACATACCAAATATAGTTATCCTATTACTTATAATAAGAGAGAATTTAACATTACAAAAAATCTGAACTTTTTTTTCAAGTAGTCACTGAACCATGAAAATGAGGTCAAGGACATTGGACATGTGACTGACGGAAACTTCGTAACATGAGGCATCCATATACAAAGTATGAAGCATCCAGGTCTTCCATCTTCTAAAATATAAAGCTTTTAAGAAGTTAGCTAACGCCGCCGCCGCCGCCGGATCGCTATCCCTATGTCGAGCTTTCTGCGACAAAAGTCGCAGGCTCGACAAAAATGCTTATTTTTTGCCCCTTTTTGGCCCCTTATTCCTAAAATTTGGAGGCAATTACCCCCAAACTCAATTCCAGCTTTCCCTTTGTGATATGGAACCTTGTAGTACAATTTCAGAAAGATTCATAAACTTACACACAAGTTATTGTCATGAAACTAGAAAAATGCTTGTTTTTTACCCTTTTTTGGCCCCTAATTCCTAAAATTTTGAGGCAATTTCCCCCAAAATCAATCCCAGCATTCCCTTTGTGATATGGAAACTTGTGGTACAATGTCAGAGAGATCCATACACTAACACATAAGTTATGTCTGGAAGTTACAAAAATGCTTATTTATGGCCCCTTTGTGGCCCCCAATTCCTTAACTGTTGGTACCATAACCTCCAAAATCAATCCCAACCTTCCTTTTGTGGTATTGAACCGTATGGTAAAATTTCATAGAGATCCATTCACTTAAACTAAAGTTAGAGTGTGAAAACCAATGTGTCTTCGGACGACGACGACAATGCCAACATCATACCAATATACGACCACAAATTTTTTTTGTGGTCGTATAAAAATTGCTTTTTTTTTAGTTTCTGTTTTCTACTTAAGTTAGCCTCAACCAAATGTTATGAGACTTACACACATTGCTTATTACCACAAAACTCAGATCAAGTTCAAATTTGGGTAGCGTCACTTTTATTGCTCTTCAGTAATGTCCCTTTATAACTATATGATATGCAAGTGGGGGCATCATATGTGTCCACATGTGGACACTATCCACATTTATTACTTTTTAAAGTGTCTTAGTATCTTTTTTGTTTTAGTTTTCAAGATACTAGGCAAAAACACCAAAAATTGGTTAAAATCATCAATAACAAGCATTTATTCTCTGGCAGAGAGTGGTCTCATTGGCAATCATACAACATCTTCTTATTTTTATAAGAACTCAAATAATGAGTAGACTAACAATTTCAGCAAGGTTGATTTATTTAAGAAATTGTCTTGCTGATCAGTTTTGCTATTAAAGTGTTTATCTATCTATAATAGCTTTCAAGATAATAGTAAACTTAAAAAACACTAAAAAATTGGTAAAAAAAGCATTAACTCAAATAACCAGTCAACTGACTATTTTTGTGTTTTAAAGTTTTTATCTTTCTATTCCGGTTTTAAAGATATCAGGAAAAATTGCAAAAAAAATGTCATTAAAGCGCAATAACTCCTAGAAGTAGAAGACTGACAGTTTAGACATACATTACTTACATGTAATTTTTAATAAAATAAACTGCTTCGCCGAGCGCAGCTGGATACGACCGCAGAGGTCCAACCCTGAACAGTTGGGGCAAAAATGGACACAATATCACAGCTTGATACAGGTCTGAATTTGGATTGTAATTAAATATTTGGCACATTATAGGTTTCTGACACAGAGTAAATGTAGTCAAACAACTTGAAATTGGTTGTATGATTTGAATTTATATTCAATTGAAGACTTCTTGCTTTTGTGCAATACACTGTGCTGTTGCGCAATACTTAGTAGATCTGTTTTCAGACTATATACAAAGAATTAGCAAAATAAATTGTGACCCCCAATTTTTTTCTTTGGAAAATTGACAATTTCTTAAATCTTGAGGGAAATAAAATTACCCCCCTCCCCCCCCCCCTTCCAAAAAAAATATTTGAAATTTATGGGATTGATAAAAAAAAATGCCTAGTACATGTAGTTAGAATTACTTTTTTGCATTGAAAAGTAATATTATTTCTTTTGAAAAAAAAACCTGCAGAGAGCAGGACTTGAGGAAGGAGGCTGGGCTAACTAAGACACTGCATATATAAATCAATGTACATTGTATGGTAAAATAATTTCAAATGATCACCTCTTTTGCCACTGGTTCTAGTCCAGAATCTTTGTAGAATTTCACAATATCGTCTTTGATTTCACCTCCACCACTGGCTCCTCGTGTTGGCGTTGTCTGAATTATTTTCATCGGACTTGATTGGGCTGTAAAAAAAAAACTGCAGATCAGTGAATTTAATTAGTGCTTTTTCTCATAAATTTTTACATTGTGATTGATTTAAACACATTAAGTAGTTCTAGTCTCATATCCTTCAGTACATAAATTACCTTGGGAGGAGCTTTCTTCAAATTAAAATGCACATCAAAATCTTACTCAGACCCTTCAGGCAAAGATTAATGAAAAGGCCTCATTTTATTTCACTATCATGACTATTCAGTAAATCATGCAGCTTTGCCATTCTTCAAACAATAAGATTTACATACATGTACTCGAAATAAGTGCACAGTTAAGGCCAAAAAATAACAGCATCTGTGTTAACTGTACCCTAACCCACCCTTATATTTGAGAGCTGACTCTATAACTTTTTTCACTGAAAATTGGGCAAATTATATATTTTCACAGGTTTTATTCTTGACAGCGATGTTCTTTTTGTTCATACTCTAGCTTTATGCCAAGTATCGCCAAAAAGTATTGTGTAAAAACGAGTTAAAACATATACATGTCAAGGCTTCCAAAACGGTCATATATGCCGGACATTTGTATAATGTCCGGTAAAAGTCCGGCTGGGCAAAGCATGAAACGGTCATCTACTTTTTAGTTTTCAAGGCTTTAAGAGACGGTCATTTTAACATAATTCGCGATCTTTTTGACCTTTAACAGCCACACATTTCCGGTCATAAAAGTGACATGATCGTTAAGTACTATCAAAACAACCCCTACTTTAATACCTTCTCATTTTAATCAAGGCTAATTAGTTGTCAAACAGCTAAAATTTACCTGTTCAGGTGACAGGTAAACTATTTTGAATCGGACATTGATCGGTCTATTCAAAGTTATTTTCTTACATTTCAGCGGTTTGCATCTAATTAATTTAATCAAAAAGATTTAAATTATCAGAAATACGTTTACAACAAGAAATGAATGTAACAGGATGCTGTTACGAAGTCTCCCAAACGAAGCTCCCATAATTCGTAATTCCCAGGGTCGCCTGACATTGGGCAACTTCCAGTGAAAATTGGTTTGGTCCAGTAAAGTTATATGCATTAGTGATGCCTGGGGACTAACCTTGTATATCATTCAAATCATCTTGGCATGACAAACCAGATTATATATGGTTTAAAGGTGGGGATCTCGACCATTTACAAGATACTAGAACATTGGGGGTGGGGAGGAACCCCTGGGGACTGGGCCTATACGTCATTCAAATGTTCATTACATGACGAACAGGAATATATATGGTTTAGGGGTGGGGATCTCAACCATTTACAAGATATTAGAACATTGGGGGTGGGGGGACCCCTGGGGACTGACCGTATACGTCATTCAAATGTTCGAGACATGACAAATAGGAATATATATGGTTTAGGGGTGGGGATCTCAACCATTTACAAGATAGTAGAACTTCCTCAAATGGCAGGGGGTAGGGGTGACCCCTGGGGACTAACCCTGTATTTCATTTGATGTGCTTTATCATGACAAACCAGAATATATATGGTTTAGGGATGGGGATCTCGACCATTTACAAGATATTAGAACTTTCTCAAATGGCAGGGGGTGGGGGTGACCCCTGGGGACTAACCCTGTATTTCATATGATGTGCTTTATCATGACAAACTAGAATATATATGGTTTAGGGGTGGGGATCTCGACCATTTACAAGATATTAGAACTTTCTCAAATGGCAGGGGGTCGGGATGACCCCTGGGGACTAACCCTGTATATCATTCAAACCATCTTAGCATGACAAACCAGAATATATATGGTTTAGGGGTGGGGATCTTGACCACTTAGAAGATATTAGAACTTTCTTAAATGGCAGGGGGTGGGAGTGACCCCTGGGGACTAACCCTGTATTTCATTTGAAGTGCTTTATCATGACAAACCAGAATATATATGGTTTAGGGGTGGGGATCTCGACCATTTACAAGATATTAGAACTTTCTCAAATGGCAGGGGGTCGGGATGACCCCTGGGGACTAACCCTGTATATCATTCAAACCATCTTAGCATGACAAACCAGAATATATATGGTTTAGGGGTGGGGATCTTGACCACTTAGAAGATATTAGAACTTTCTTAAATGGCAGGGGGTGGGAGTGACCCCTGGGGACTAACCCTGTATTTCATTTGAAGTGCTTTATCATGACAAACCAGAATATATATGGTTTAGGGGTGGGGATCTCGACCATTTACAAGATATTAGAACTTTCTCAAATGGCAGGGGGTCGGGATGACCCCTGGGGACTAACCCTGTATATCATTCAAACCATCTTAGCATGACAAACCAGAATATATATGGTTTAGGGGTGGGGATCTTGACCACTTACAAGATATTATAACTTTCTTAAATGGCAGGGGGTGGGGGTGACCCCTGGGGACTAACCCTGTATTTCATATGATGTGCTTTATCATGACAAACCAGAATATATATGGTTTAGGGGTGGGGATCTCGACCATTTACAAGATATTAGAACTTTCTCAAATGGCAGGGGGTCAGGATGACCCCTGGGGACTAACCCTGTATTTCATATGATGTGCTTTATCATGACAAACCAGAATATATATGGTTTAGGGGTGGGGATCTTGACCATTTACAAGATATTAGAACTTTCTCAAATGGCAGGGGGTCGGGATGACCCCTGGGGACTAACCCTGTATATCATTCAAACCATCTTAGCATGACAAACCAGAATATATATGGTTTAGGGGTGGGGATCTTGACCACTTAGAAGATATTAGAACTTTCTTAAATGGCAGGGGGTGGGGGTGACCCCTGGGGACTAACCCTGTATTTCGTTTGATGTGTTTTGTCATGACAAACCAGAATATATATGGTTTAGGGGTGGGGATCTCGACCATTTACAAGATATTAGAACTTTCTCAAATGGCAGGGGGTCGGGGTGACCCCTGGGGACTAACCCTGTATATCATTCAAACCATCTTAGCATAACAAACCAAAATATATATGGTTTAGGGGTGGGGATCTTGACCACTTACAAGGTATTAGAACTTTCTTAAATGGCAGGGGGTGGGGGTGACCCCTGGGGACTAACCCTGTATTTCATTTAATGGGCTTTATCATTTAGAACATTTTCAATTAAAAAGATTGTGTCTATCACAAACGGTTTTCAATTTATAATCATTTGAAAATTTAAAAAAATAAAATCCCATAGGGTTCTATAGTAAAACCCTCTTTTCTTTTGCCCCTCAAAGTACCCCTTTATAAACCCCATTGCACAAACAAAACCCTGATTGCACCACTAGACATGTTAGTCTAACATATTGTGAAACCCTAAGTTAATCTGACAAGCGGTTTTGGAGAACGGGTGCGGACAAGTTCAAATTTAAAAGTGGCGGAAGAAGAAGAAGAAGAAGAAGAAGAAGAAGAAGAAGAAGAAGAAGAAGAAGAAGAATAATAATAATAATAAGAACTGAGCAAAAACAATAAGTCTTCCCAAACTTCGTTTGGGAGACTTAAATATGATTTGATGAAAAAATTAAAAAGGTGAAAATGAAAAATCGTCATAACCACGTTGTTTGAACCTAGAGACATGGCTCTGTTTGAACTACAATGTAGTACACGATGCGCAAACAGGTGTGAAATTTAATTATGCATCCTAATTTCTTCAAAAAATGCTTAAATTGTCATTGATACCTTTATCTCACGTTTATTTCGAATATTTTCTTGAAGAAATAACGTAGAAAGAGCTACTTCCACTCATTCACGCTTTGCAAACGTACACGGAATTTACGTATCCATCTCTGGTCCATGTTTAACCATTGTCAAGATAACATCCGGTATAAAAACGAAAGTAAAGTTTTTGAAGACGTTATTTTGCACAAATAAAGTCTAAGGCAGATATAAGTACGCTGATGTTGCACACTTCGAATGATGCACTGCCAATTTAACAGTTTACGTCAGAACTTCGAATTTGAATCAAAGAAAGTTTAATATCGTTTTTTTTAATGTCAATCATTGGGATGGCCAACTCGGCAACTGATTACCATAATCAATTGCCTTTTGTTTATTTAGTCTTAAGGGATTAAAATCGGGATAATATATAAAATGTCCGGCTGGCTAAAAATAATTTTGGAAGCCCTGACCAAGACTTCCAAAACGGTCATATATTCCGGACAATTGTATAATGTCCGGTAAAAGTCCGGCTGGGCAAAGCATGAAACGGTCATCTACTTTTTAGTTGTCAAGGCTTTCTTAAGAGACGGTCGTTTTAGCATAATTCACGATCTTTTTGACCCAACCTTTTGCCTTTAACAGCCACACATTTCCGGTCATAAAAGTGACATGATGATTAATTACTATCAAAACAACCCCTACTTCAATACTTTCTAATTTTAATCAAGGCTAATTAGTTGTTGGACAGCTGAAATCTACCTGTTCAGGTGACAGGTAAACTATTTCCAGTACCGGACATCGTATAAATTGATCTGTCTATTCAAAGTTAATTTCTTACATTTCAGCGGTTTCTATCTAATTGATTTAGTCCAAAAGACTGAAATTATAAGAAATACGTTTATAAACATGATTTGATGAAAAATTTAAAAAGGTTTTAAATGAAAAATCGTAAGAACTACGTTGTATGAACTAGAACACGTGTGCGCATGTGCACAGTAGGGAAATTTAATTATGCATCCTACATTTCTTAAAAAATGATAAAAATTATCATTGATACCTGTATCTAACGTTCATTTCAAGTATTTTGTTGAAGAAATAACGTGGAAAGAGCTTCTACACTCAGTCGTGCTTTGTGAACATACACGGATTTTACGTATCCGTTTCTGGTCCATGTTTTACCATTGTCAGGTCAACATCCGGTGTTAGGAAAATGTGATTTTAAAAACGAAAGTAAAGTTTTTGACAACGTAATTTTGCACAAATAAAGAGTCTAAGGCAGTTATGAGCACGCTGATGTGCACACTTCGAATTATGCACTGCCAATTTAACAGTTTACGTCCAAACATCAAA